AGTTTGAAAACATTGGAGAATTCTGGCCAAGGCATTTCTTTACCCCATGGTGTCACATAAATGCCCTGTTTGTGACACACTTTGCCCCAATGGCTGATCACTGATAACACTTTATTTTATTCATGAATGTTATCAAGACAGCAGACAATAAAAATCATATAGCTCTCACTAACCACATTTGAGGTCCATACTGTAAGTTGCAAACCTAGTTTTTTCCACTTGGATTTATAGCCCAGGTGCAGAGTAGAAAAAAAAAAAAAAAAAAAAAAAAAAAAACAGGTTCCATAACTTACAGTGTAGACCAAACAAAAGAGGTAAGTAATATATTTTTACATCTCTGTGTTCCAATGGAAGGGGAAGACTTCAATTCAAACAAACTTTTTAATTTTGGTTTTATCAACTGGGTTGATAAATAAATGTAAATTGGCTACCTTATCCTGGGAATGTCTTATTTACAAACAGTGAGTAGATTCTCATTACTGAATACATGAACAAGACAGTAATAAAACATTGTATATCTTGCAGCATGTACTGGCCTTAAAAATGGCTCTCACTATAGCTATGGAAAGGCTATAGTGACCTGGTAAAAGGTTTCAGATTGTCTGGCCCCTTGCAGACCTCCTCTGAGCTTTCCTACTTAATATGCATTTATGCAAGCCATTGCCATTTCAATAACTTACAGAGAAACCTTTAAAAATGTTCAACCTTGCACATTCTAGCAATTTAATCAAAATGGAATGGTCCATGATCTTTAGATACCAGTCACATTGTTCTTGAGTGGGGAGATCTGTATAGGAGAATAAATTTCACATGTTATCTTAAAAACCTTTGCACACTAACATCAGTATACATGTGCCCCATACTACTCTCTACACATTTCCTAGGGTGCTGATTTAGTAATAATGCATTACATAGTGTCACATTGCATAACCACTGAAAGGAACTTCCTATTACTCAATCATGTCGTAAGTCTTCTTTGCCAAATAAAAGAAAAAAAGCTTATCGTGAGTATAATATGGTAAATATCTTCTATAAATCTTGATTATGGAATAAAATACAGTTGAATTAGGTGGAATGAGAGCTGTCACCTGACCTATGAATACTCTACAGCTGACAAGGAGAATTTGTCTAACAATCAAGGGTATCTTTAGTCGATGATCATTTACTTCATTCTTGAGACCTGTGTGTGATTCTGGGAGGGTGATCTTGTAGGGAGAATTCAGATGCTAGTCACTCTTTAGAGTCGGAAGGTTTAAGCTAGTGGTTCTCCCCTTTTCTTATAGACATGATATGTACTGAAAGTTTCACTACTAACACCATCCTCCTTTTATCATGTTCAGGGTGTCAAGTGACAAATGACACTTAGAAAATAGGAAAATAGGAATGACAGTGGCCAAAAAATAGGAAATAAATAGCAATTCTCACCCCAAAATAGGAAAAAAATAAGAGGATTTCTTTGAGTTTTATCCTCTTAACACTCTCAACAGAAACTCTGTTCCACAACCCAATGCTTTAATATTTAACAGGCACCATGACATACATCCATGATACATTGCAGCCCCACTGAATTGGATCAATCATTTGTGCTAGAGCAGCTTTTGTCATTGCGGGCAAACAAAGCGATTGGTCTTGACAAAATTAGCACGAGACTTCTTAAAATCTCAGCTCACACTATTGCACCATCTGTTGTTAAACTTTTGAATCCTTCAATTCACACTAGTCAATTTCCCAAATTGTGGAAATGCATGAAAATCATGGCATTGTTTAAGTCAGGTGACAGGACTAACGTTTCCAACTACCACCCCATCTCAATCCTCCCTACACTAAGTAAGATTTTAGAGAGAGCGGTACACTTGCAGCTGTATCAGTACTTGATTACCAATAATTTATTGTCTAACAAGCAGTTTGGTTTCCAGAAGGGTCTCTCAACTACAACAGCTTTGACCTCATTTGCCGATGAGGTGCTCTTAGACATGGAACATGGAAAGCTTTGCGGGGCCGTGTTCATCAATCTAACCAAGGCATTTGACACGGTAGACCATCAAATAATGTCATGCAAGCTATCAAAAGATTGGCCTTTCTGAAACAGCTCTTCACTGGTTCCGTTCTTACTAAACTGGTAGACAACAGCACACCTCATGTGGAAATGAGTTATCTGAGGAACTTCCAGTCACGCATGGGGTGCCACAGGGTAGCATTTTAGGGCCTTTGTTGTTTGTGATTTACATAAATAACTTGCCAAATGTGCTTAACTCCTGCTATGCATCACTTTATGCAGACGATACTGTGATTTATTGCTATGGTACCTCCTCAAAGGAGTTGAGTGATAAGTTAAATAACGATCTACTAGGTTTGGCGAAATGGCTTCGTGATCACGAACTGACTTTAAATTTGGACAAAACTAAATGCATGCTTATCAGTAGTAATAGGAAACTGGAAAGCAAAGTAGATTTGTCTGTTTCAATTTTAGATCATAGTATAAGTAATGTTTGCAGCTTTAAATACCTCGGTATACATATATCTTCGGATTTCACATGGACTGATCATATTGAACACCTAACTGGGAAAATCAATCAGTGGCTTAGGCTTCTCAAGCGTATAAAGCATTTATTGCCTTTCAGGGCGTGTTTACTTTTCTATAAAGGTCTTGTTATGCCCCTTTTTGAATATACTGATTTAGTATGGGGCGATAAACATAATATTATCCTTATGTCTAGTTTGCAATTTTGCAAAATAAGGCCACTAAAATAATTTTAAATAGAACATTGTACTCATCCTCCACTGAGGCATTAGCCGTTCTCAAGTGGCTGCCTCTAGAGAAAAGTCAATTTCAAAGAAGGTGTGTACACGTATACAAATGCATCAATGGCCTATTTAATCACAATATGGACTTGATTAGACAAGACGTACTTCATAGGCATAATACACATACCAAAGGCAATTTTAGATTACCACGTGTCAAAAGAAATTGGGGGAAGCAAAAAACACAATATCATGCCGTTTCCGATTTTAACTCCCTCAGTCAGACGAGCAAATTAAGACTCAAAGAATGTCAATAGTTTTAAACGTAATGTTTTTAAGTTTTTAAAAGAGCTACTTATGTTTAATTTTTATTTATACTTATTTTTAATTTTTTATGCATTTTTTGTATCCTTTTAATTCCTTCGCAATTTTATTGCTTTTTTGTTTCTACTATATATATCTAGTTTCGAGGTCCTTTTTGAAAACCATATTTGTTATGAAAAAGTTTCCTCAATAAAGATGACTATTATTTATTCAACATGGCAAATGTACATACATGCATATGACTTCCCAGAATCCCTTGTATGTTATCAAAAGCACTGAGAAAGTCTGGGCACTAGTTTCAGAAGAAAATCACTCATAAAGGCTTCAAACTGGTCTTTTTTGGCATGAAGTTTCAGTTTTTTGTAGAATTTATCAATTTTATTTGCAATTTTATTTCAAATATTTCAAAATGTTTCTGTGTACCCAGTAAAACCCTAAAAAAAATTGGAAAAACTTGGAATTTCATGAAAAAATAGGAGAAAATAGGAGGCAGGCCAAAAAATAGGAAAAAATACGAAAAAATAAGAACTTGACACCCTGCATGTTAATCATGAATTGAACTATTTTGATTATATTTTGATTAAGTGTAACAAAACCAAATCAAAGTCACCTCAAACATACATAATGATTGGCCAATACACAAACATCTTAGTACTAATTGTGACATGATTCTCTTCCAAATTGTTGAAATGGGTTGCCTTTGAGAATGACAAACCAATTGCATGAATGTAGACCCCTAGATAAAGGAAACATATCTGCGACAGATTAGAATTCCAATTTCTTCAGGGAGCATACCCTAGACCTCTTTTGGAGTGGAGGATGATGATCAATGATGATATCCAATCTAGTCTCATGCAAAATTTCGTGAAATCCCAGAAACTACACATAGACTAATACTGTGGGTAACATGTACAGTTATAATACTGGTAGTTTGTGACAGAGAACGCGCCATGCTATTGCATGTCATCATTCCGGAAAAGAATTGCGTTACATCCCCCACACTAAAACAGCAAGCAAGCACTTTCAATTTCTTGTTTCCCCTTTTGTTTTCCCCGATAAAAAAAATCCATATTTATGCAGATGTCATCTGTAATGAAAATTATTTTAGCGTGGAGTGCAAAAACGCATGTTTTTGCTGCAGTTAATTTAGCGAACACTTCCTACTTGAACTTGTGTAGATATGGTCGTGAAGAGCTCACAAACTACTTATAGTTTTCAAATACGTTTTCGATTTGTTTTGACAATTTGACAAAAATACATCTTGCTAGACAAGCAAATAATAATTAAGGGATTTGTTTATTGTTATAAGTAATAATCCAGATTTTTCGACAGGATTGTTTCTTATGTTTACATAAGGCCCGCTCACAATAATTAAATGTGAAGCTTAAATAATTAAAATTATAAGCGACTGCTACTGCTATTGGACCCACTGATTGACAAAACTAAAAAGTTTACAATCGTTCGGTTTTTTTCCCAGCAGCTCGTACTAATTTGTACCGAAAGAAACAACAACTCCCGGTCGAGGCAATCAACACGACCGGAAAATTATGCATGCCAAATGAGTCAAAATTTAAAATAAAATTCGAAAAAGTAAACACAGTATGAAAAACTCACCATTTCACTGTCAAGGAAAGTTCGAATTCTCTCGACTTTAGACGGGAAAAAACCAAAACAGGCAAGTTTGAACAGAAACTGAAAGCACTCAACAGCCGCCATCTTAGATATCAAATATTTCACTGACGTCATGTTAGAGAACAATAGATAGGGGAACTTAGATCAGGGCAAGTTCAGACAAGTCGAGAGTTCGCCGAAGACTTCGTGACAAAGCATTTCCCTCGCAAGAATATACCATTACAAATAACCAATCAGAGACAATCATCAATTATAAAACACCAATCAACGATAGAATATTTTTCCTGCCATGACGCGCTAGGAATCAAAGTGAATTTTATTCAACAAGAGTGTGATGCAGATTGTGATGGCCACGAGAAGTGCAGTCGAGAATTTTTTGGAGAAAATCGGCCTTGAAAGTTACCGGACAAGATTTTTAAGTCAAGGATATGATACGATCATCGACCTTTGTCTACTTGACGAACATGACTTAGATTCACTGAGTATACAAGAACCAGTCGAAAGGTACAAGATCCTAGACGCCGGTAAGTACATTTCTCCATAATTATATATTTACCTCAACTGATTTTGGGGAACCGTGAGATCGGATTCGCGTCAATCGTTTTATCTAGTAATCGATTTATACCTGTCTCGGGATAGATGAGGATCGATCTAAGGAAAAAATCATGAATTATTTCAATTCGTCAATTGCACAATTGTTTCCGTTTGGATGACAAACTTTTTTTTATGAATCTTTAAACTCACAATGCCATGATATATATTTTCCGATCTCCAGCTTCTTGCATAGATGTCGCAGACTGGCTACAACATCTTGGTTTAGATAACGAAAATTGTTATTTGGAGAGGTTAAGAGCTGAGGGAATCACCACCATAAGGGATGTAAAATCCAGAGAATGGAGTGACGAACTCCTTGACTCCTTGGAGATCATGATCCCAGGGCATAGAAAAAGGGTTACAAGTGCAGGTACGAACTTTGAAGTAGCTCGTTCCTGATTAGTTTGATATCACTAAAATGAAGGTTGAAGTTATATTTGCTTGTTTATGGTTAACTCGAGGTGATCACTTTCGACCTGAATATAGTCCTGTTTTTTTTTGTTCCTTGGCGAAGTCGACCTTTTTCGTCGAGAAAATAACTAATTAGCTTGCCCTTAAAGAGCGCGCTACATTTCTCTGACTTTTTTCCATCGCACAATTTGTTTATCCGGTATTAATTGGTAAGGAACAAATCAACCTATAGAAGCAGTTTTATTAAAAGGGATATTGCCCCGCTAAACGCTTGATCGGTAACGTTTTTCGCTTTCCCTAAATTGACTTAAAGGGGGACTCCCCTTGGTAAGCCGTTAAGTTTTTTTTTAATGTTTACAAGCTTTAACATCATTCGTCATCGATAAAGGTCGAGGTTGCAAATAAATGAAAAAGAGACCATTTCTACGCAAGAAATCGCTAGGTGCCTCTATCCTACGTCGAGAATAGTCAAACCCGTCGTTACTGCATCAGTTCCAGGAGTGGTGTGTTGAGATACTCCAATGTGAAAGGCTATGCTAAAATTGCCAAATTACCCTTCGAACTAAGAGTTAAATATCTCAAATAATACCTTCATAGGTTGAAAAGAAATTGCTTTTTTAAAGTCCAACTGCAGAAGATTTAAAGATTTATGATTTAATACAGGACTGAAGTGTGCCTCTTTAACGTCGTTGTTGTTGAATCAGTGTACTCCCGAAGAGCGCGGTGTTTTTCACTGAAAACGTTGTCTTGTTTACTGATCCACTGGGTTCTGATTAGAATTAAGAACGTGTAGAAATCGGGTTTCTTATATTCAGGGAATAATTTAACAGCACAATAACTAATAAACAGTGAACAGCTCGGTCAGGCACAAATACCGTTGTGGAACCGTCAGCTTTTGTGATCAGAGTTTTGAAACTTTAAAGTGAAAATCAGCCAACAGCTTTCTCATTATCTGTTTTACAGTACTGCTGCTAATCCTGGTATTTTCTCTTCGTCTCACTAGACTAGGATAACCATAAAGTTCGTTAAACTTAAGGCTGTGTTAAGTTCAAAATCTGTGCGCGCAAATTTTCAGTCGAGGAAGGAGATCATAAGCGCACATCTTCTGTGAATACCGAATTTCATGTTTTTATTTTTGGGCTTTACTAGATGGCTGCATATGGAAAAGCTTTCAGCCTAACAGACTGCTGTCCCTTAACTGCTTTTATATTTTAATTCAGCGAGAAGTTTGTGCATGTAGTCGGGTTTGTTGAACTCGAGGTGAATCGCCACTCTCACCGTGAAAACCGCTCTCACAATGATTCAGTAGAGCCAGTGCCATTCTTGTTAGTATTTTTTATCAGAATTCTGGAATATGACCGCAGTAAGCCAAAAATCCCCTCGTTTTATCGATTTATAGTGCGAAAACATTTTTCAGCGGGTCACAGCCTCAACTCGTAATTGTCAATAGTATTATCAGGCTAGGTGATTATACAGACTCGAAAATAATACTCCTAGTTATCGTTTATTTTGTAACTCCTCCATCCCACCGTTTTATTTCTATATGACTGCAAAATCAGTCACCAGATTTAAAACATTTTTCTTTTTCGCAAGAGCTTTATATTCCCGTAATGTTAACGTTCTATGTGAAATAGTGTGGTCGGTTTTTCCGTGTTACAAATTTTTCTTCTACCAAAACTATTATAAACTTATGTTAGCTGGCATTGTGCAACTGCATATTCCATGTTGAGGCAACTTTTATTTTAGTTGTTTTCAAGACCATAAAGTTTACAGTCGACAAACTGTAAACTATGGAAATCGTGAATAAAGAGAAATATAATAGGTAAAGAGAATACCATCAAGTCAATCATAGTACTCTTTTGCATGAGTTTGTTGTGCCAGTGAGATGTAGTTGTAGTTTTGTGAGCTCCTCCTCCTTGTTGGTCAAAATTAAAAGAGCTTAGTCATTATTATTTGAGTTGATTTCCCCGGTTTTTTGATTATTTTGGGGTCATTGGGAGTTGTCGTTGATTCAAACGGTAGTTTGGAAGAGCAGGGAAAAACCTATGGCTCAGGATGGAGGAGATTAAGACAGAATACAAATGGCAAAACTTGATCATAGAAGGTCAAATTTTCATGATGAACAGGATGCCTTGTTACGAGGTTCATTTAATTTTAGCGTCTTTACATTGCGTGTTTAACACGCTATTCGCTGCTTTGATCACGTTTTCTTTTTTTTTTTTTCACCCTTTATCCACCAGCAACCTTTCTCAAGTGGCATTCAGCTGAAGAACCTGACACTAGAGTGGTTGTCCTGGGTTACTGGGGACAACCCCCAGGGCTTGAGGACAACCCATACCCCTTTCTGTGCGTTCCAGGACACCTTAAATCTGACACTGGGGAAGGTATGTAGGCAGTTATATCAGTGATAGTGTAATATATAAAGCTACTTGTATGAGTAGCTATAATAATTGAAGTTTTCTTTGCTTTGTTTCAATTGCTCAGCCTAGCTTCAATGTTGCCAAACTGCATGAGTTGTAATCGAACTAGTTAAACAGCTAAGCATGTTTTTTAATTCATAATTTACCTTGGTTGTAAGTCAATAAGTCAGCTATCGGGTTGTTAGTTGTTAAGAAGAAGCCACCAAGTATTCAAGTACATTAGGTGGTTGGCCCCTCAGTTTGCTGGCTAACTCAGTTGCCTGATGTTATGGTCCTTCAGTGAGTCAATATGTCGATCAGTCATAGACTCGCTCAAAAAGTCAGCCAATCAATCAATCATTTGTTCAAATAGTATTTCTATATGTCAGTTCATCAGTTAGCCAATCTTTCAGTTAGTCAGCTACCCTGTATGTCACTCATAATTCATGCAATCAGGCAGTTAGTTGGACACTTAGTAACTTGGTCAGTGAGGTAGCTGGTGAGTCAGTAAACGAATTGATCTTTCAGCCAGTCAGGCTGAATGACTGTTTTGTTGTCTGTGTCTGCCCGCCATTCCGGTAGATGCTCATTCCATTGGAAAATGGCCAGATTTTAACTGAAGGTTTTCAAAGTGTGTAATCTGCTCGATATCCTAAATTTCACCTACATCACATTTAGTGCACGTCTAATTTAAGTGTATTTAATTCACAACACTAATAGAAAGAGGAGTGTTCTGTATTATCTGTCTACTCTATAGCGCAAATTCATGCAGCTTACTTTCCTGCCGATTCTGGCAAATAAGAAATTTTCTTCTGAAATTCTTAGTCTATTGGTAAGATACAAAAAATGTGACTCCTAAACATTTTTGCTGTGTCCTTTACTTCAAGGTGCCCGCTCATCAGAGTTGACCGTGTTCATCGTGGACTCTGGTAGTGATGTTGTCACCGCCACCGAGAGCCTCATTGCGAATTTACAACTAGAATACCTCAGGAACGTCGACAGTAGAGGGCCCTACTCAGCAGCAGACAAACCTCTCTACAGAGGGGTTCTTAAGCTTGGGACAGAAGAGTTTGAAGTCGAGGTAGGCGATGAAGCTCACAATTTAGTATTAGCTCTTTTCAATGTATCAACTTTGAGCCAATACTGGGTCAAGCAGTGACATTTCCTCACTGACGCTGACCATAGTCTATCTAAGATGACTGGTCCCAGACAAATTAACCTTGCGCACTTCACAAAACTGGCTCTATCTTACTTTATAACAGAGTCATTCAACCTACGATCTTCTAAGCCAGGCTATCTGTGATTCATCCACAACTTTCTCCTATGATGCAGTGGAAACTTGCTCCAATTGACGTCATTTGAGCGCGAAAATTGTCGAGTTTCGTAAGTTTCTAACTTCGCGCATGTTTTCTTGTCTTGTCTACACTTGGACTCAGGAACAAAGAAACGCTCTTGGTCTTAGTTTGCCTTTCGAACGTCTTTTAAACTCCCCCCTTTTCCCGTCTACTTAATTTATATTGGTTTTTTAGAATTTAGCGCGATTATATATAATTATCAGAAGAATGACTGATTATTTTAAAGTTGCACTGATTCTCATGTTATTGTTTTTGTCTTTTTCTTATGGTTATAAGGTTATACCAGAAAAACTTGCGAGTGTTGGGCATGCTGTTATGCGGAAATTTAAACACTATATCGATGGCAAGTTTCATCGCTGGCTCAAGGAGGATAAGCCTGAAGAAACCCAGCCACCCCTTGAAGAACCTGAATAAATTAGTGAATTTTCAAAAAATCAATGAACCAATCCCATCATGGGAATTATGAACCAAATGTAAATATATTTTATTGCGAATTGAATACAGATTAATTTTTATTTCTTAATGTATTTAAGGCTCGTTTCAGGTAATGGCTATTTGTTTGTTAGGTTGTTTGTTTGTTTGTTTGTTTTTTAACCCTTTCAGATCCCATCAGTAATTCTTCTTCTTAATATTTAGTCGACTCTTATAATGTTGGGATAGAGAATTTTTTATCAGATCAACCAATAACCCCCTTTTTCTCCTTATTCGTGTGATTGATACTGTATTGATAATACAAAGAGAAATTCTGTCTTGGTCACTCGTGGTAATTTAAGATAGAAATAGATTTTCCTGGATTTTGGAGATCAGTAACTTGGTATAAAATAGAAGAAATTAAACAGCGAAGAAGCATTGTTGAATTAGCTGATAGTCGCTTCTAGTTCAGCCGAAGAAAAGCTAGATTTGTTTCGTTGAATTTTTTCTTGACGCAAATTTTGGAAAAGGTCAGGCGACGCATGTCCCAGAGACAAGGAAATATTTGAATTTTGAAAGAAAGATATATTAATATCATTTATTGGGAAGGAATTAAAGTTCCCCGATTATTTTAGGAATTTTTTTATTTATGCGATCAATAAAATTTTAAAGTTTAACTTGGTCTTGTACTCTGAGAGCGATTGTCCCACGGGGTCTCCTGTCAACATCCAGGACTCCTTGCGCGCATTTTGGTCACCTGATTTATTTCCCGCGCTTTTTCACACGTGAGTCTGTTGATCGTGTTGTAAGAGGAGAATCAAAATGTCTGCTCCTTCTACGCCGAGAGGAAGAAAGCGCTCTAGAGCAAGCCCTCCGCGTGAGTATATCTTTATTGATGCAATTATTGTTTCCTTTGTTGATTCCTCTACCCTGATATCAAATCATGTCTTTTCTCATTCGATTTTGTCGTCGAAAAATGTGCCGATCCGTTTCGCTCTCGAGTACAGCGCAGTTATTTTGATTGATGTCAACCTCATGGAAGTTTACTTGGCATTATGTGGGGAAATTGAATTACCTTACCATCTAGGGTGAATGCCTGGAAAAAAGGAAACTAATTTACGTCGGTTAATCATGCACTAGGATAGGACAGAAGAAATATCCTTCATTGTACATTTGTGGTTAATTATACCGAGCTCAGATGCAAAATTATGGTTGTACAATTTCCAAAGCATATTTTTCTAGCTCAACCATTTTTTGGCATATGTTGTCGTCAATTGCCATTTTTTTCTCGCTAAGTTTTTTTAACATTGTAACTGGAACCAAATCGTCAGAAATGGTTCCCGAAAGCTTTCACTGGTCTTTTCCTTCCCACCGCGCCGCTAGCATTCAGCACAATTCAAGTTCGCTCAATATTGATTGCTAAGGTTTTTACTGAGCTCCAAAAACGTCAACAATCTGCTTGATGATGTGAGAGTAGTATTCCATCATGAAAGGACAAGCTCAAGCTGAGACACTTTGATCCCACGATACAGATGTCATAATGTTCTCTTCGTTTAGCATCTGATGCTTCTACAACCAGTACGCGTAGTACTCGTAGCAACCGTAGGGGCTCAAGGGCATCATCTCCAACAGCTGCTCCAGCAGTGTCACCCCCATCTCAACGACGACGAGTAGATGAAGCCTCATCGCCTCTCCCATTAGCACCTACATCACCATCTGAGGGGCAGCCCGACCCTGATCGATCTGGACTGTTCTCGTCGCCTCAAACTAGAGGAGGGCCGGAGACGAGTGAAATTGACCTCAGCTCACCTCTTAACTATGCTACACCAAGTTCAAGAGCTGCTGGTACCCCAGCTGGTAGTCTGTATCCTGTGATAAAAATCTTTAATTTGCCTTTGTGTTTAAAATTTGAAAGATAAATGCATTTTCTTTGGTTCTAAAAAAAAGTAACAAGAAGAAATTTAATAGGGGAATGAGATCAGATGAATTTAAGTTTAAAATACTTAGCTCAGATTGTAAAACAAAATTGCTCCTGTGTATCAGGTATTATAAATAGCATGTATGAAGTCAAACCTTCTGGTAGAGGATGGAATTTGAAAAAGGGCATATGTGGGAAAAATGGAAGAATGTTCAGTTAATTCAACTTAATTGTGCAACTTTTCATAAGATATGACTAACAGAAACTATAATTATTAGAACTTTTTTTTTAATGTATTTTTCCAAATGAGTCGTGAGATTTCTCTGTGAGCCTATGATTTGTTGTGATTCAAGGTCAGTTTAGAGATATTGTAGGTTAGCATAATGTCAGCAACCCTGAACAAAATGGTGACCAACAGCTCTAATATGCACACCACAGGTGACAATTTGAGTTTGAACCTGTGTGATAGCACTGATAGTTTCAGATTCCTTAACTAAAGATCAGAGCTGGTACACCTATCCGACATCGCAGTGATATTCGCAGTGACAGGCGATTACGTCAAGTTAATCTAGGAGAAAATCAACCAGTGAGTAACTTGTACCAATAATTTTATAGATTGAGATATGCATTCTTGCCCCTTATTTTTAAGGTTCAAATAAAAAATTTCTCTTTTTTTTTATTTTTTATCCCTTAGCCCTCTGATACCACTGATCAGCCAACTGGGCCTACTAGTGATGTTGCCACAGCTCCTGCATTGGTCATCTGGGGAACAGATGTCGTTGTTAGTGACACTAAGGAGAAATTCAGGAAATTTGTCTGTGACTTTGTTGATGAAGATGCTGAAGATATGGGTGAGGGCTTTGATCCCCTGTTACCAGTCTACATGCAACGCCTTGATGAGGTAATTACTATTGTTATGGCCTTGTGAACTGGTGCTTTTTTTTATTTTTAAAGTTCAGCTAAACCGATGATCAGGCACTCCTTTTTATTTTTGTGACAAATAAATTATTTAAAAAGTTATTGAGAAGTATTTGGAGTCTGGACTTTCTTCCTATTGGTCCAATATAATGACCAGGAGAATTAATTTTGATGACTCTAATTGTGTTCGTTAGTGTACAAACACAAGTATGAACTAAAAGAACTGTATTGTTACCTTTTTAATAGAATATCCAAAGAATTTCAAATTATGTAAAAAAAAAAAACATCTTTGCAAGCTACAGTAGTAGTTTGTAACTTTTTTTCTTTTACAATGTTATAATTATGTTGTTAGATTTTAGAAACTTCAGTTGTACTATGGTAGAACCTAGCTTCTCTACATGCTTTATATAGTTTGAAAACTGTTGATTAACACTGTCTAACATAAATTATTTTCATGCAGATCCATGTGTTGGAGACACCTTTTTTGAACATTGATTGTGGTCATTTGAAGACATTTGATGCAGATTTATACAGACAATTGATCTGTTATCCACAAGAAGTGATTCCTACCTTTGACATGGCTGTGAATGAGGTGTTCTTTGAAAAATATCCTGATGCTCAGTTGCAACATCAAATCCAGGTGAAATATTGATTAAAATGCAAAATGACTTTCTTCTTCTTTTTTTTTAATATTTGATAACAATTGCAATAAGGGTTTATTCATTTGTTTTATTACATGACTCGGGAAGTCAGAGGGCCAATAACTAAAATCAACCAATCAAAATGCTCTATTGCCAGTCAATATTCTCTCAGTCGGGACCTTCAGATCCGACTACGACTTCGAGTATGAGAACGAGATTACCAAAGTGCAACTAGCACGCATGTGCGATAGCGTGAGCAGCACTTGGTCCGTACTGTCAAGACCTCGGGCCGATGTTCTCCCAGTACGGCCCTCGCGCTTGGTTAATAAGATATATATTGCCTTCTCTAGGTCAGAACTTTTAATGTTGACAAGACCAAGAATATGAGATCTCTTAACCCTGAAGGTGAGAGTAAACATTTATTTTATCTATTAAGAACTATGTAGTTACATATCTTAAAATGAATTCATTTCAATTTGTTGTTTTGTGTTGCATTGTATTAATTCATTATAAATATTAATTTTTTTTTTGTGTGTAGACATTGATACTTTAATTACAATCAGTGGAATGGTAATAAGGACTTCTCAAGTGATACCAGAGATGAGAGAAGGTAAGAAGAACTCGAAGATTTCACACAAAGAGGAATATCTGCTAATTTCTCTCTTGTTCTCTGTGTCAGCTTACCAAGTTTTTTCCTGTTGCATAACCCATGAACATCATGGTGGGAAAGACAAACTTGAATTTAATTGTATATTCCTCTGGTAAAACCCAATTGCAAGATATCTCTTTAAAGGCTACTTATTAACTTTTATGTACCTTGATTAAAATATCACAGAAGAGTACCTTGTTAACTCTGCACTTTGTTTTTGTTCCTCAGCATTCTTCCAGTGTTATGTTTGCCATGCATCAGTCTCAGTGGAAATTGATCGAGGTCGTATCGCTGAACCTGCCTTATGTCGTAATTGTAATACAAATCACAGCATGGTCCTCGTTCACAACAGATCACAGTATACTGACAAACAAATAACCAAGCTACAGGAATCCCCTGGTAAATAAGACATTCTCCAAATCTCTAACATGTTGTACAAGTGAATTATACTGCTCCTTGATCAATTTGTTTATAGTCATGGTACATAATTAAAGCAATCATATTTTAGATCATTTCAAAGTTTGTGTGGAAATCTAAATGCTGTCAGTGTGTGTTTGCATTAGCAACATGATGCTTTTGTGTGGTGAAAACAAATTCATTGATTAGCTGATAAGTTGAGGTGTTTTTCTACGACCATAACAATCCTAAGATCTCAACCTAAATTCTCCCTAGCGTCTGCCATATATTTCTCTCAACTGTAACAGTGGAAACTGATGTTAAATCAAACAGTTTTAGTAGTTGATGTTTTTCTCTCCTTTCTGCTTGACAAAGTGTTGATACTGTGCAGAGAAATGATAAGGCAGTCTCTTTTTAGGGGTCAAAAGGGGTAAGACAGGGCTCGACACTAACGGTAGCCCACTTAAGCCACAAACTAGAAGAAATTCAGTTTTGGCTAGTGGTTTTCATTTTCCACTGGCCAGTTTGGCTAGTAAACAAACTGAAATTGTCGTAACATCTAAAAAAATCTAAAATGTCACCAGCCACTTGGCTAGTAAGTTAAAAGGTTAGTGTCAAGCTTTGTAAGGATTAACTCCTTGTAAGGATTTTGACACACCTAGGTTCTGAATGGGGAAGACTGAGGTAATGATAATTTATTGCTCTCCCTTTTGTTTGGAAGGTTGATTTATAGTTTTAATCAATCTCTTGCCATTTTGGCAAACCTGGACCAAGTTGGTCAAAGGGCAGATAATGGCAGATCATATTTTTTTACCTTTTACACCCTAACATCAGTATGCATATTCTCTATTCTTCAGATGACATGCCGCCAGGACAGACTCCACACACCATCATGTTGTTCTCCCACAATGATCTAGTGGATGCTGTACAACCTGGAGACAGGTAAAAGAGGAAGTCATCATGGACAGATTCTTTAAAGAAGCCATGTCACAATATCTCTTGTTCTTTTTCTGTTGAGAAAAATTAACTTTTATGCGCTTAAAGTAAATATTGAAGTTTTTGTTTGGTAAGATAGAAAATACAGAAGAAAGGAACTAAAATGATGTTCTTAGAAGACTTTGGACTGAATTTTTTAAAGGTGCACAGTGAACACAA